ATCTTTGCTAAGAATTATACTAGTAAAGTTGTTCATTGCTCCAATTAAAAGTTAAATTTACTTAGAAAGGACAAGGGTATAACTTTCACATATGTTTATGTTCCACACTAACATTTTATATGAATAAACCAGATTTTATCAAACTACTGACACTTCAGGCAATACAGATATCTAGAAAGAATGGGGGCTTGGGCTCCATCCCCTGTACATTCTAATTACATGACCTTGGTAGGTTACTCAGAGCCTCTATGTTTTTTCATATGAGGTGCAGACTTTACATATAATTTGTTGACTTTTTACTTTACAGATAATAATATTTACCACATATATTTAGGAATAATTAAATGAGTTGTTATTGTAAAACATATGATAGACAATGTTGTAATTACAACTACTATTTATGGGAACAAATAATTATCCTTTGTAATAGAAATATTCACAGATCAGGAATGCTCCTTTCTAGACCAGTTTTTAACATATATGCTATCAATCTTGCATGATTTTAAAATCCAATGTGCACTGTTTACGGATTGAAATGTTAACACCCTATTAAAAACAACTGAGTCTGACTCTGCCACAAGCTGCTTGTGTGACTTGGAACAAGCACTCACTGATGGGTTTTTGCTTCTGCATTTATAAAATAACCAAATGGACCATCCTAGGTGATTTTAGGGCCCTTGCCACCTTTACAATTCTTCTCTGTGACTCTTGTATGTCCACCAAGTGGCTGTGTGATCCATATGAATCATCTTGGGATAATTACATCTTGATTTCAAAGGAATCCGTATTCCTTCTCAGAAGAAGAAAAACTGCTGCCATCTAAAACTAGTCTCCCAAATAAATGTCAGCCTCAGGATAAAGAGAAAGAAGAGAGAAGATAGAACAATTCATTTGCACGGATTTTGTAATTTGAGCATTCTCTGAAAATTATTCCTCCAAATTTGAAGATGAGATTGAATTTTGAGGCATCGATCTGGTCAAAGAAAGTGTGTTTCAGAAGACATAGCTACCAGGCTTATAATTGCACCTCTACATGTAAAACTCCAAATCTAAGTTGCCTTAGTTATTGGAAATCCTAATTAATGACTAATATACTTCCAATTCTTCTGGGAAATGCAAAACAGACTTGTACAATTAACCATTCTTGTGGTATTTATTTTGAAACCAACTGTGCATTTCTTGGCCTCTTCACTACAAATAATGCCAACTCCTACACAGTTCCACAGAATTCTTCTACAGTTCCCGCTTGCTATGCCCCTTTTTTTCCCTTGCCCTCCCTTCCATTACCTCATAAATGTGGAACATTTCAGAAATCACAATCCCTTTAGCAGGAGGTCTCTACATGTTTATCTATAAGGCATTAGAGGAAAAACTCAAAAGGTGCTTTCACACAAAGGTGGGAAAAGGGAGCATAAATTAAATTCCTAATGGACAAAGCAACACAGGAATGCGCTGGGCACGAAGAACCAGGTTCTCTCTGACAGATGGTATGCAGTGCGTGCAGCTAGCCTGGCAGTGTTCAGGGGCTTGCACCAGTGCAGATACAGACACAATAAAAATGCTTATTGATTTTAAAGAGATCTGTAATTAAGTATGACATTCTAACTGATAGAGGTTTACCAAGGCAGAACAGCCAGATTTGAGGGGTCCTAAAATGGGATACTGCTTAATTTATTTAAGTGGTCAATCCTAGAAAGGCAAAACTTCAAGATTTTGGACTTGAAAGCATGTGTGTCTGTGTTTACATCTTGTGTGTGCGCACAATTGAATCTAAAGTTTTAGATGGTGTCTGCCCACTTGAAATTTTCTTAGGGCTTAGAAAAGCAAATGTCACGACCCTTACATTCACTTGCCTTGGGCAAGCAAGAAAAATATCTGTCAAGACCCAGGTCTCGCTGTTAAGGCTGGAGTTGAGAAATGCCCTCCAAATGCCTTCAAGTCAACATTAGCTATGACAGAAGCAAGACTATTATTTAACAGTAGCAGAAAATGTCAAAAACAAACTGTGCCTGGCGTTTTGACAAGACACTGTTGAAAGAGAACCACTTTTTCAGCACTTGTGTAACCGTGGGGGAGAACTCGACAATTAATATCCTGAGGTCTGGTAATAGGATTTCCAGGCAGCTTGGTGGTTTCCTTCTGATACACATGAAAGGAGCAGGCGAGTGGCGGACACAGGCAAAAATAATCTAAAACGATGAGGCCCGGAGAAAAGGACTGATACGTCAGAAATGAGGCACCTTGCAGCTAATTAAAATGTAACTCCACGTTGGGGAAACTGTACTCTCACAGAGGTGACACTATAAAGTATAAGGACAGCCATCATCTCTAGGTAAAAAAAGACACAAACAGAACCGATCTCCTTCCTTCTCTCTGGTGACTTGGTGGCACCCTGAGATACCCCACCTGAACTTTTCTCCACGGACAGCAGCTCCAACCTGACCTGGCCACGTCCCCAGCTCTGAGTTAAACAATGAATTTATCAATATAACTATTGGCCAGTGTTTTGCCCTACCTCCTTAGAAACCCGCTCCCTGTTAAGAGAAGCCATAGCCTAGTGGTCAGCAGGCACAGTGGATTCATGGATTACTTTTCCTTTCCAGAAACATTCAGGAGGGACCCTAGTCCTAGGGACTTGCCAATGTGCTGGCTCAATCCACATTCTTAGAAGTGAATACAAGAGAGGGGAAAATGAAAGGAACTAATATTTAATTGCACAGGGCTTATAAGCTAAGCACTTAAAATTATGACATTTAATGTTAACTGCTCTCCAAAGGTGATGTTGCATCTCCATTTTATAGGTGAGAACCCTGAAGCTTCAAAAGCTTGAGGCACTTGTCCAGGGGCCCAGTCTGCAAGTAACTTACCCAGAATTCAAGTCTGGATTTGTCTGACTCCCAAGGCCAACCCCTCCCTGGGTCCCTCCATTATACCTCAGGACCACACCTTGATCATCCTCAAAACATTCTTTTTCAATAAAAATATGATATGTCAATAGCTTTATAATGTTTTGAACAACCAATAAAAAAAATAAATTTAAAAAAAAAATCTAATGCTGCTTAATAATGGGAGTGCCATGAACTGGGGTAGATGGAGGCAATCTCAACTTGCAGACCTCCTAAAAGAACCTCCAGGGGCAACTGTGAATCCTGCTGAGCATAAGATGCCCTGCTGGTAGATTTCAGGAAAACCGTTCAACTGCCAAACAGAAGCCAACCCTGTGATTTAAATTCTACCTCCCACCACTTCCTCTTTCTACAGACCTCACACAACCTGACCAAGCCTTCGCCTGTCTTTCCACATGGCTTTCATGTCTATTCTATCTGCTATGGTTTGAGTATGATTTGTCTCCCAAACTCAAACAAGAGTTTAATCCCCAAAGCCCTATGCTAATGATGCTGAAGATGGAAACAATCTGACCATGGTGTGTGGAGGTCTTTGGAAAGTGATCACATTAGACTGCATCATTAAGATGGAGCCCCCATGATTGAACTCCAGTGACTTTATAAGGAAAGGGGTGTCCTCACTAGAGCCTGTGCCATGTTGTTTGGACTTCCAGCCCCCAAAAGTGTGAGCCAAAGTAAACCCCCCTTTTTGGTAAAGTGGCCTGCCTCAGATATTTCCTTATGGTAATGAAAACCCAGTTGATGCACCACCCAGTGAGAAATACCCTCACCTCCTTAAGCTGGGTTAGTGCCTTCAAATCTTGTTGGTACCTAAGTCCTCCCCTTTCAAAGGCCTTTTCTGATCACCACATGCACACTGTTCTTCCTCTTACAGAATGTACCATCTGCACAACTCATCTGTATGGCTCTCATAAAGCTAATACTTTTGTTGTGTGGTTCACATCAACACCATACCACCCAGGACAATAATTCACACAGGCTGAACCTTTCCAAAGATCAGAAGTCAACACTTGTTAAAATTCTCTCTTCTCCGTTCTGACAGATTTCCGTATAAAACTGGTTCTGTGGAGGCTGCAGTGGAACCTCTGCTATGGAATAAGACTTGAGGTCCAAGGTCCAAGTCCAAGACATTCACAGAAGGGGAAACTTGTTAGGCTTTCTAGGAATGATTGTACTAACTCTCTAAAGAACCTGGGTTATGTAGTGGATGAATGCATTTACCCAAGTATATCTACAAAGTCTCTACTTTTCTACTAAAGCCTAAGGTTGCATTCATGTCAACAATGCCCACTGTGACAAGTCATTTGTTTATTCTGTGATGGTCATGGTAACAAGGAGACACCTTGGTCATCAGAGTGAAGTCAGGGTCTGAAACCCTCTTCTACCACTCAAAAATTATGGACCTGGCAGCCACAGAAGGTTGGTACTCCTATGGTATGTTGGGGATGCTCACATGTGGCATAAAGGAAACTTTTGATTCATTCTCTCCCCTCATGCTGCTTTAGATGATAGAAACGTAAAAGTGAACCCCTTCCTACTTTCTCACCAGTCCAGGACTTAGAAATACAAAGTTTGTATTGTGCATTTCAAATACTATAATTTTCTTGTTTTAAATTTATACCACAAAAATATTTTCTTATAGTTGTATACATGATGAATCATTAAGGGAGAATATTCTAGTGAGAAGAGAATGCTACTGCAGTGGTGGACATTATCAATGATCACCAATATTTGGCTATTCTCTCCCCCCAGGGGACTTACCCAGGAGGTAAGTCCTGTTCGATGAGCCCAGCAGAAGTACAGCACATTGCTTCTGAGTTCAAGGAGAGAAGAGTGGACACTAGGGCCCATGCCTCCACTTTCTCTGCCTTGGTGACAAATGAGGATACATACCATGGTGGAGCAAACCCAGCCTCCCACCATCCAAGCTGTTCATATAACATATGTGAGAAATAAACCTACTTATGTCACATGTGAGAAATAAACCTGAGATTTCAAGTGTTCATTTTTTACAGCGGACAGTGTCCTAATACACCAACCAAGATACACATAAATGAAAATGAGTCGCCATTTCAAAGATAAAAATGTCAAACATTTATTTTTCACCAATTTATTTTTCTTTAGGAAAAAAAATCTCAACCTGATCAATTTTAAAATGAATTTTACATACATTCTGGAAAGATCTGAAACATGTACTGGCTTGTTTTCACTTGGACAGGCATGATCTTGACATGCACCAGGTCTAAGGCATTGAAAATTCCACAAAGATTTGTCTTTGTAAACAGTTTTAAGCTTCATCTTAAATTTGTCAGTCTGCAGATTTCCCAAGCCAAGTGCGCAGAGACTTTGCATACCAGGTGCATCCAACTGACCCTAAGGTGATGGGGTAGCACTTTGTCTTTCTGTAATGTCCTGCTGAAAATCTCCAGCTTTTGTACATGCAGAAAGATTGTTTCACAGCAGAACTGCCACTGTCATACTTTGGTTGAGCAGACATTCCCAGAAGATCTAGGAGTGACATGTGATGACTATAAAGGGAATAGAAATGAGTTTCATTCAGTGGCAGAAACTCCCAAGGAATGCATTTTAGAAATTTCTGTTCTAAAACAAACAGATTCAGCACATGGGTTCTTTCTTTCCTTTGTCTGCTCAATTGCTCCTTACAATGAATTGGTCCATGATCACAGTCTGTACCAGTTTCCCCAGAAAGTGTTTCCCAAAGAGAGGCAAATCTTGCAAATGAAACAATCTCATGGAAGCACAGTGGTCCTGAGTTTACTGTTTTTAGAACAGTAATAAAATATATTTTTAAATGGCAATATGTCTCCCAAGTGCTCATTACTTTTAAAGCCCAAGATGGACTTTAAAAACCATGCAAGGATAAGCACTTACAAATCCTGCCATGAGAAAGCAGAATAGGACACAGCTACTAGAGCACGATTTTGATATGGAATCAAAACTGCCCCTTGCTCATGAAAATTCTTGTGGAAACTGAAACTAGGGAGACAGTGAAAAGGAAAAATCGTCCATATATGGCAGTCAGTTTTGACATGGGGCTCATCAATAGCCCAGTCTTTCCGAGGCACATCATTATCTATCTGATCTGCCAAATCCGATACTTAACAACATTGTCTTCAGGACAGTTGACATACCCTGGAAAAGTCTATCTTGTAAATCACAAAGAAAGATGACAGGTTCCACAGATCTCATCAGCGATGAAAAGAAGGGAGGCATACAGGAGCAGACATGAGGATACTTGCTGGCACCACGAACCAAGTGTGCTATGTGTATTTCAAGAGCAAAAACCTCTACAGCACACTTTTTCTTGAGACCCAGCAAGAAACCCCTGACTTAACCTGTTTATCTCATTATAGACTGACTTGAGTTTCTGAAATGTAAAGGCAAATGAGTAGGAAGATGGCATGATTTTGTTGTATAAAAGAAAGTGTTGACAGAGGTGGGGGGTATAGCTCAGCGGTAGATGTGCTAACAAGCGGAAGGCCCTAGCTTCCAGTCCCCAGCACAGAAGGCAAACTGTAACTGTTTCCTCCTACCACAAATCCATAGAAATAGCAATAACAAAAGACTTTACAAAGAAGTTGTAAAATAAGAAGTTGTCTTCCATGCACCAGAGCTACATGGAGTCCCAGAAAGAAAAAAATAATTGAGAGCAGTTGGATGAAGGAAAACAACAGCTCAAAACACTGAAGGGGAGAATTGGCCAAAAATGAAAGCTAGAGTCTAAGCTCAGAGGTAGCTGATGGCTGGTGCTAGAAATGCCCAGGCAACTGACGTGATGGTCCTGTGGAAGGAGCCAGGCTGACTAACTCTTCCACACTTCTCCTCTCCAACCTTGGCATAGGGCAGACAAGTCAGCATCACCTTCTGATATGAGTGTTAAGTGTGGGCACTCTGTCCTCAGAAACATGGCCATGAGCCCAAGGCATGCCAAGGGCTCACTACAGACTGGCTGGCAGAGTTTAAAACTTTAGGAGAAGAGTAATTAAACATCCTCAGAAGACACCATAGCAATACGCCTCATTAAAAAAAAAAAAATGAAGATCTTGGAAATTAAAATAGTGATCACTGAAATTAAAAACTAAACTGATAGGCTGAGTGCTGAACGGATACAACTAAAGAGCAACTCAGTGAGCTGGAAGATCCAGTTAAATAATTCTTCTAGAATGTAGCATGGAAGAGAAAAGCTAAGAGATATACATAAAATAGAAACAATAGGTCAATGATGAATAGGACTTTTCAGATGAAAAGACTAGAAATGACATATAAGAGACAGATTTTCCTAGAATAAAAATATGTCTCTGAACAGGATTAAAATGATTTGTATATTATGAAATTCCCAAATCCCTAGTATGATGATAAATACCTAAAATATACATATGCACGTGTGTATATGAACACACATATCTTAAAGAGGGGACCCCATTTAATTTATAATTCCAATACAAAGAAGGCACCCAGATAATTATTCCACTGGATGGCAGAGTACAGACAACTCCCTTCCTTTCCACCTGCCCTCTGAGATCATTCCAGGTAACATCCCCATCAGTATTGACATCTGATCACCCAGGCCAGGCACCTCTACTCCACTGCTGTTCATCTTTACCCATTCCACTGAATGGGGTTAAATACAGTTGTTAAGCCTGTGCCTGATCAAGTTCTGGAAGTGTTCCTCTATGTTCCTCTCAACCTACAAACCCCAAACCTACCTCCACCGACTTATTAAACAGGGTTTCTCATCTCCTTCAGATTTGCAGTCCTTTGACTTGATCCTATGCCCTTGTATGGACAGATCAGCATGCTGACTCAGCTTCCTTCCCAATTAGTCTGGATCCTATGATTTATCCTTGATCTTTCATTAGGAGCCATTAATTTTTCACTCACATTTGTGCCAAGCTGACCAGTCAATCCCCAACTGGAATCAACCTAATCCATCATGGTTGGTTTAAACTAACAGGTTGCTGAATCCACTCAGATATGGAATAATCATGGACCCTAACCTGGGTCCATGGTAGCCTCAAAACTGGATGGCAATTCTTTCCCTATCTCTCCTTAGCTCCTGTGTCCATTCTTGAAAGATGCTGTCCCAAAACATCATTCCCTCAAAGTCTTCTAGCTTCCCCCAGCTCCCTACCAGTGATCAGGTTTTTCTTAAAATACGTTATGATAAAGAAATGTGAGATGTATACATAAACATACACACGTATATAATGTGTACACATATATAATGTGAATATATGTGTGTGTATGCATAAACACAAAAATCAAAATTTTATTCAACCATAAAGAAGAATGATATTATGTTATTTATAGGAAAATGAATGTAACTGGAGAGTATCATGTTAAGCAAAATTAGCCAGACTCAGAAAGACAAGTATTATATGTCTTCTCTCATATGTAGAAGCTAGTGGGGGAGGGGCACAACATGAAAGTAGAGGGAAGACAACAGAGTAAATAAAGGGGAAGCTAGAAGCCGGGAGCAAGGGAGAGGGAGGATGGGAAGGTAAGGTGTGCTCTTGGGGAAGTGAAATTGATCAAATAATGTTACATGCGTGTACCAATATGCCATAATGAAACTCAGCATTTTATATAGTTACTACACACCAATAAAATAGATATTAAAAAACATTTTGTGAGCTATCCTATTAGTATACAATTAATTATTCTAAAATTTAAGATTTAACATGTTGGAAAAAGCATTTTCAATATAAAATGACTAAATATTATCTCCTTTATCTCTAGAATAATTCACCCATCCAACTATACTTTGTAATACCAGTTGCCCTCTGCCTAGAACTTTCTCCGACCTTGGTTGACCCACAGCACTCTTTTCTGGTTTTCTTCCCACTCCTGGACAATTGACCTTTATCTCCTTCAAACTTCTCTGGCAACTTACTGGTATACCTCAGACTTCTTTTCATCATAACATGCTCCCTAGGTGAGCTCATCGGCTCCCACAGCTTCATTAATTACAACTATATGCTGATGACTCTCTCATTTATATACAATCACTTAGACTCAAATATCCAAATGATTCTAGCATCTTTTCTAGAAGTCCCCTACATAACTCAACCTGAAAATGTCAAACCAACTCATTAACTTTACCTATTCACATACTGCTCTCCATTCCTCTTTTGGTTTATAGAAATATCATCTACTTATTTTCCTAAGATAGAAAATTAAAGTCAACTTTGACTCTTCCTTTTCCTTAACCTTCACACCCAATACACTAAGTTGCAATGATTTTACTCTGAAGTGTATCTCAAAGCATCCCTTGTTCTGTATTTCCAGTGTCACTACACATCTCATCTCTTTCACCTGGGCCCTTCCTCTTAATCTTACATAAAACTGTACCAGTGGGTGGCAACCTAGGCTGTACCTGGGGAACTTTTAAACTCTTAATGCTCAGAGCCCATCCCAGACCAAAGATACCAGTCTCTTCAGGGACAGGACCCAAGCATCAGCATTGTTTTATAGGTCTACATGTGATCCAATGTGGAGCTACATTTAAGAAATTTCCAGAAATACTGGGGAATGATAGTGACTAAATTATATCATTATATTGTATACATGCATGAATATGTAACAATTAATCCCACCACGATGTATAACTATGATGCACCAATAAAAAATATGGGAAAAATATGTGTGCTAAAATTATAAAAAGAAAAAAAGGAAGAATTTTCAAGAAATAAAGCCAGGAGCTCACGACTGAAAGTGTAAAAACAAATCTACAACTCAACAAATTAGAGAGAAACTGAAAAATCTTGAGGAAAAAGAGAAAATAGTGAAAAATATTTGGAGTAAAAGACAGATTGCCTACAAAGGAAGGAAAAATCACACAAACAGCAGAGATGTGATAAGAGAGAAGACATGAAGTTAAAAATCTTCAAAATGTTAGAGGAGGAAAAAGAAAATGGTGAACCTAGAATTCTCTAGCCTGCTAAACTGTTCTTCAAGAATAAAACAGATTTTCTCAGACACACAGAGCTCAGACTCTACTATTCCAATCATCACTGAAGCATTGCCTTATACAGAAAATAAGTGAGACAAAGGAGGATTTGGTAATACTGACCAAACCTGGAAGTAGAAGATACGTGAAATATGTGCACCATTGAGAGGTCCCATGGCCTTAATAAAGGTAAACTGGTTCAGTGCAAATAAACAAATTTTACAACAAAGTATTAGTAGAGCTCTGACTTGTTAATTTTAATTGTTTTCTTGTGGTTTTGTTGAACTTAGTCCAGTTTTCATCTGTCTAAATTCCTATAACTCTAAAGTTATAGAAACAATATATCAATATTAAAAATGTTTACCACTTTCATTACAAAAAAACAGGTGTTATATATTTGCATATTTATCAAAATATTGAAACCTTTTTATTTTTTGCCATAATCATCTTTCTTTGGGTCTAGATGATCTGAAAATAATTCAAGCACTCTACTGACAATCTCCCCAGTACTGTTTCCTTTCATCATTTTTCATTACATTCAATCACGTTAATTTTATAAGATTAATCCATAACACTATGTTCTAAACACTTACTGCAAGGAGAAAAAAAAATGACTCTTAGCCAAGATTATAATTACATATTTAATACATCTTGCTTTTAACAGCAATTTTCAAAGTAAACACATCATAGACCTTATAACTTATTAAAGATTTTATAATGCTTACAAAGTTGATTCTAAAAATATACTTTATTTGTTCTAAATGAATAACATTATCTGGAAGATAGAATAATAAATTATAGTAGTATGTTTACCACCACTCTAGTTAAGCTTGTGTACACATACTCAACATGAAATCCTCCTAGGATTTTCAAACTTTCAGCCTGAAAACATAAAAGCAGAATAAAGTTTGGCATACAAGACTGCAGTCTGATAGCAATTGTTTTAAAACCAAAAATTTTAAAATATTCACTTGACATTCTAGGAAAGCAAGAGCACATGCACATATATATTTACACTGACACTCTCACTCATTCACACACTCACCAGAATACTCAGAAGATTTTGCCCTTGTGTATCAGACAATTGTCAACAATTTCAAAAAGAAAAATTAGGGGGAAAACGTTAAATAAGAATATGTTTAAGCCATACTTAAATGGCTCTAGATTTTAAAAATATATGCCAAAAACTGTTACCAAGATCTTTAATATGTACAGAATGCCAACTGAATACATTCTTCAGCAAATTTGAACTATTCGCTCACTAGCAGACATGAATACATAAGAAAGCATATACCCATTTATTTCCCAGATTGCATAAAAGATTGCAAATCCAGGCATTCCTCTGACAGTCATATGACTAAGCCTAACTAAAGAGGTTTGCTTTACAGAACCCAATATGTTGCAGAACCCAATAGAATGAGAAACCTCATTTTGATCTGTTTGGAGTTTCTTATATGTTGCTTCATTACAGAAGCAGTGAGCTTCTGTAATGAAAATGACAGATAATATCACTCTACACTTCATGGCACTGCAGAAAGGTGACTTTGAAGTCCCTAAACATTTACTTATTCTATTTAAACTTTCTAACTTTTAATTACATACATTCATTCAAATTTAGACTCACAGTGAGCTGATAACCTCACCTGCTCATTACATATACCTCCAGCAAAATCTGTCAAAACAGAAAATTACTCTTTGGGTTCTCTCCAGTGATGCAGGTTTGAAATCATTCTATGGAAGTTCTTTGCCATCAGATATTAAAATACTCAAAATTCTCTGAAACAACATTAAAATAGAAACTAACACACATCAGGGCATGCATAACTCATACTGCTGTGATTAGAAAAATAAAAAGACACAACAGTAGGTGAAAGAGAAAACACCAGCTTCCCATTTGCTTTTTGTTTGTTTGTTTTTTGGCTTTTCTCTTATGTTTTATTTCAGTAAATTTATAAATTGTTCAAAGCATTCTTATACTCTTTGTGACAATAAGAGAGTGTTTTGGCACATCTACATTGTGATACAATGTATGGTATGTTTAAAAATGAATTTAAAAATTCCATCTACTAATCAACATATTTTTAAATGTAGTGCACATATATCTTACAGTTATTTAGGTCAAATACATAAAGGTTTGCAACTGATTTACAGATGAAGCAATCACAGATTGCAGCAGTAGCATGTGTGTGCATTATCTATACACACTGATCAAGGGAAAAAATTGCATCCTGGCAATTTTACAGTCCTTAGTTTTGTTGATATATCTATCATTTACATGCCCTTTTCTTCTTGTTTTTCTGTACAAAAGATATATTTTTGCCATCTTCATTCTTGATGAGACTTTTCTGCAATAACTTTACATTCATACTGCAAAAATTAAAAGGTTAACAGATTAAAATCTCTTTTGAATTGCAACTTCCAAATAAAACAAACTGCTCCAAAAATGAATACTTTTAACATATGCCCACTTTATTCCTCAAAGAATCTGAGGAATAAAAGATTAAATGATAAATGGATAGGGTAAAAGCAAATTCAAATTCTACAAGAGAAATTGCCACTGCCAAAAGCAGGAGAAAGATGAGGTCTCTGCATTATGAACAAGAGTCTATAATTCAGATCAATCCTATCAGATGAGAGGAGAGGAAACAAAGTAGGTTTCTTTGCTCAGTAAAGCAAGTCTGCAGTGAAGCAAGTCGTGAACTAAGGACAAGACTGATGAAGTGAATTTGGATGATTGTTTTTTTCAAATCAGTTTATGGCTCAAAGGAAAAAAATTATCACATTACAAAAGCTTCCCATCAAAACAGTATTTTTAATATACAAGTATAAAAACATAACCACAATTCAAATAAAGAAAACCAATGGAATTAAAATAATTGGGTGGCCAGATTATCAAAAAGATAGCAAAGTAAATTACTCCATTGTCTAAGCTGGATGAAATGGTAAAAGTGATAGCACTTATTCATGAACTGCCATGGCCTCTGAATGTTATTCCCTAACTGGTGCCACCATGACTGGCATTACCAGCAATGTCCTTTTCCTTCAAAACTAAAATAACCAAATACCTTGATTCACTGGAGACATTCTTAATTTACAAATACTCTAGCAATGTGATTATTAGTAGCTCTTTACTTTTAAAACTGTCCATTTTTGATGAAGTGGAAATTAAAAAGGGGGGAAAAGAAAGATTTGAAAATCCCTAATGGTCTATATAAATTATATTACCCTATCCATGACACATTTTGGCTTTTCTCTCTAATAAGTCCTCAACTTTTTTTTTTATTTTGGTGTTTTGGGGTTTTTTGTACAAGGATTGTACCTATGGATGCTCTTCCACTGAGCTACACCCCCAGTCCTTTTTATTTTTTGAGACAGGGTCTTGCTAAGTTGCTGAGGCTAGCTTTGAACTTGCGATCCTCCTTTTAATGTGATTAAATTCTTCCAAATGATTTATTTCAACGAAAGTACATTTGTTGTCTTCAAAAATTGCTTTCCCTTAAAGGACTTCCATTTAAAGAAAACTCATGCATCACATACAGAAAAGGGAATAATAAGCATCAGCTTACCATTGCAAGTTGTCGACCAATATTTCCCATTGTTATGCCTCCAGCAAAAAAAATACAAGGTAACCAAGAACGAACATACAGAAAGTCTGGAGATGTATATCTAGGATAACAGAAACATTTTAACAACCCACAGAGGAAGTACAAGTACATCTAAAATATTACAATGAAAATAAGTTATTCTGTAGATCATGCTGGATAATGCAATTTCAAAGATCTCAATCTAAATACAGTTATAATTTATTTACCTAGCAATCAAGAACTAAAATGAATACTTACTGATAAACACCATTATAGACTAGCAGTTGAGTGACCACAGTTGCCAAGAAAGCGATTCCTACTCCAAGGCCAAAACCACTTCTAGATCTATCAAAAGTCCACCACAGTCCAATGGATAGTGCAGCCAGTGTGAGAGACAATTGTATGTTGTTATCAAAATCCACTTTCTGAGATCAGTGTTAAAGAATCATCTTAAAACTTGTAAAACAGAATTACCTATTCATTTTTCTAAAATAAGAGATACCACTGTTAAAGAATTGTTCATTCTTGAGTATATTCATTCTTTTAATATCATACATGGGGCTAGGTGGGATTAAAGCTGCCTCTGGAATTTTCCAAATACCAGATATAGAGAAGGCATCCTACCGACCTGTAACCTCACCAAAAAATAATAGCCTATAGACATTCCCAATTATAAGATCAGACCCATTATTTAAGAAATCCTGTCTTCGCTGAACATGTAACTGCAAGCTTCAGAACAGTAGTGTTGCTAAAGGGACACACTTGTGAAAAAGGAAACCAATATTACTTTTCAAACAGGTTTAGAATTACGTGAAAATCATACAGGACTTGAAAGTAGAAGAGTTGACAGCTATTTAACAGGGTACTACATTTTCTACATGATTTACTGACAGACACATTTTATAATAATGCAGTTCAGAAACAAGAGTACCAAGGACACAGTATCCCTTTCTATTATGTCAACTGTTCTAGTTTTAATTTGTTGAGGATAAAGCCTTGAAGTGAACATTATCTTGCAACCTGCCAAGCTATTTTGGTGCCTGAGACTTTCTAGTATAGGACAGTTTGCGCAAATATTTTATTTCCATCACCTACTTAAGCATCTATTCACAAATGTACAGCCCTTTTCTATTCCAAAATCTCTGGGCAAAACGATGCTTTACAAATTCAATTTTCTCATTTCTTTGCTAGAGGATTATACTAAAGGAATTAATTTCAAGTGTCATTAAAAGGGCATTATCTATGTCCCAAAGGCCATATCTTGGCTCTATAACCAGCTCCTTGGGCGGAGGGATGGGGGGCTACATATCTCACCAAACTTAACTGTCCATGCTACAATTAAAGTGAAGTTCCCCCCAAATGCACATAAAGTCATTTCCTGCTTCTTTCAACACCCACTGTTTATCATCATCCTGCACCCCTGCCAGACCAACATCCTGAACACCCAGCTTGCTGACTTCTTAGCATCTCAGGGCTGTTGAGTGTCACTTCCTTAAGGTCATTCCTTGCTTAAGTTTGATTTATCAAGAAACCTATAGCTCAAATGGGTATTCTCCCTGGAAAAGCATTTTCTTATTCTTTAGCTGTCATTATACTTACACTCTAAAGAAAATATTTTGAGTGCTGATCCCTTTGAACAATAAATAAATGTTCACATAAAGAGAGGAATTTGCTATTAATGAGGTTCATCTTTGCTAAATAAATTAACTTCAATAAGAAGTAAGCAAAATAATGGGGATTCCAGAGTAAGCAATTCAAGTACATCAATCTTAAAAGTAGTACCATGTGATTTTCTAAAGTCTAGGGAACCTAATATGAGGAGTCTGTGCTCTAGATTTTGTAAGTATTTTGAGTTTTGCTTAAAGAACAGATAGGTCAGTTAAGATGGTTATATTTAAGGATTTCATTGAGAAAGAAAAAAGTGAAAAAAAGCAAAGAATGTTATATGGAAAGTTTATAAAATGCTAGAAAATGCTATGTAATTTTCTCTACTTAAAAACAGAGATTGCAGCCAAAATGTGTGGGACAGGAAGGTCTATCTAACCCAGCAGAAAGAGAGGGATGTGAACACCTACAAAGCTCCTAGAGAGGAAAATGAGAGGTCCCCAGACCTGAGTTAGGAGCTCCGGGGTCTGCTCTCAGTTCTGTCACAGTCTGGCAATGTCTTAGCAAATGACCCAGGCTTTCTGGTATCCATGTGTCTTTTATCTTCACAAAGAAAACATGAAGCTAGGTAACTTCTCAGTTCCTTTCTAGATATTATAGTCCATGGTTTTATCTCTTTAAGCACTCCTAACCACTACATTTGTTTTTTTATAAAATCCTAAATGTCAAAAAGTTCACCAAAATAAACATGTTGAAAACTATTTACTACAAAAAGAAACAGAAAACCAAAATAATGACTGCCCCTGAGAGACTTTCAGATTCACAGACGTGCAAGACCAGTGAAACTGGGCACTGTAATTGTTTTTAGAATCCAGGTCCCTGCCTACTTCTGTGGTTTTTGTTCCCAAGTTTATAAAAAACATCTCAATCTTTTGGTGAAAAAGGCCCAGGAATTAACTTGCCTCATGACCCACCCTCTCTCAGGTTACCTGCCTGCCCCGAGCACAGTACAGTGACAAAGGCGCTCTTGGTAGCCTGAGTCTCACTTCCTCCTCTTTCTGGTTCCCAAGGTTCCTGCCACTTCTACTGCCTAAACCGTATCTTCTAGAAGAAAGAAGACAGAACTAGCATTTCTAAAATTCTCTTCTACAAAGAAAAGGCAGAGGGTGGGGAGGAGGTAGAGGAAAGAAAGTAGGGAAAATGACAGAATGAAATCCTTGAGGGCAAAACCATGTGTCCTAGAGGAGAACATTTTTTTCTGTGATACAGAAGGAAGCAAGGTAAATGGTGGCTACCTCATTTCTCACTAGAACTATAAAAATATTTATTAATTACTGTGTAAAAATGTCAGAATCTTCAAATGATAAAACTTTAAATGTATGTATATTGGGGGAAAAAGTTATTTTTGGCCAAGGTCTGAGGTAGATATTTCTACAATGCCACCTTTAAGAATATTTATATATATTTTTTTTTTTTTTTGGTATTGGTTAAGACCAGTAAATGATAATCTGCCTTTTAAAAAATTAAAACATCTTTAAATTAAGAAAACCAAAAAAACAAAGAAACAACAACAACAACAAAAATAATAATATCCAAAGCCACTGCATGTCCTTACTGACAAATCTTAAATTAAGAAAGAAAAGGGAAGAAAGCCTTTTAAAATGTACCTGCCCCAGTCTTGGAATTACCAAAACTATATGGAAGTAATTAAATAATCCAGTTTAGGACAAACATGTAAGTTTTTTAAATGTGTTAAGTTTCTAAGTAGTATTTAATATCAGGGATTTAAATAAAGAATTACTCCCACACCATAACTGCATAGCTGCTACCTTGATATTTCAACAATACGGTTCACCTTCTTTTTATGACTAAATGGGCATAATCACACTCTGATGATGGTGAAGCTACAAGGGACGGTTTAACCTTTGGTTTGTTGGAAGCTGCTTTATTATTGCGCATTTCATTACAGCATAAAGGATATAGCACTGGCATGATTTATACCAACAAAGACAGCTACACACCGCATTACACTGGACCACTCTCTTTTAAATTTATGTGGTTCTCCTAGATGCCTGTCAATGCAGGGGTATAATAACCCAATCACAGCTGTAGGAAAAAAAGAAAAAAAATTAAGTCATCTCCAACGTTATCCTGGTAACAATTAAGCTACCAAGAACCACTATAACCTCTAAAAGCATTAAAAAATTTTTTGTTTATAAGAAAAAAAAAGAACTCAAGTATTTAACATCAATCACTGATATTTTTAAACTTACCTTCCCAAAGAAAAGAATGAAGATAACACTACTGAAGAAAGCATTGTAAATGATTGTGATAGTATTCTAAATTCTAATAACACTCTTTTAAGTGTATGACTCACAATTTAGCAGATTAATCTAGATGATCTATGTTTCTTTTATGCTACAATTATCTATGAGACTTAAGAAGAATCAAACCAGTTAAGCAATATTCTCTCAAACCTCCATAACCCTGAAATAATCTATTAAAATGACATAAACCTAAAGGGAAGCCAGAAACATAAACCCAAGTCATCATACACACAATATTCTGATGGTCCTGGCTGTCCTGTTCCATGAATTAGTCTTGCCCCCACCAGCTTCTCATCCCAGTTTTCTATACCTAGCACCTTTTCCTGACACTCCTGTCTAAGCTGGTCCTCTAATAAGAATGTAGGCCATACTGTAAAAGCAAGGAAAACTCCCAACAGAAATTTATACAGAAGATTGATTCTACAAGTGGAAAAGAATGGAAGACACAGGACCTGTAGGAATTACAAATTTTCACTTAAAATTTAAGTTCACTGTTAAAAGATAAGGAGAAATAATCTTAGTACCTGGCTTAGTTTTAAAAGAATATCTCGACTGTTACCTAAAGGCAATTACTGCATACAAAATGTCTATGATTGAGACTCAAAATATTCTCAGCCAATTCTTAAATACTGTTAAACCTCAACATTTTATTCATTCATAGAAGAAAACGTACATGCTGTTAATAAAAAAAAGACTATTTAACAAACCAAAACATTGTTCAACAAATCATAAAGAAAATGCATTTCCACAGATTAAATTTAACAGGAAATAGCAAAGCAGCTTTGATTTGCTTTCCTCAAAAGAGACTGATTATGCTGCCATTCTGGAAACAAAGACACAACTGTCCCATCAGTGGGAAAGCATATCTAAAATGTCCAATACCACCTATGACGTATGATAAAACTGTTATACCAAAATCTAAGTGCCCAAGGATGAGGATCTCATGCCCCAACCTCGCACCCACCCCACCCAACTTCCCACCGCCTGGCAAGCCTCACAAGCTCTGCATTCAACCTTCAAAGAAAAATGGAAGCCAATTAACATAAAAAAATCACAGGCTCACAGACCAATGGAGCAACATTTGAAAGAGGCTGCCTGACCACCCTTTCCATCTGGAGATAAGATGCTATGATTATGTATTCATTGTCTAGTCCACAACTCTTCTGACTAAAAGAATTGCTGAGTATAGATGGCTCACAGACCATCAAGAGATTAACAACAAATCTCAGCAGTGCAGAGCTCCAACAACTACTAGAAATTTTTAGTTTCGTATTACTTTCCTACTTTAGCTCACTGCATTGCTAAATTTGTACACATTTTAAATGGCAACTAGTCAGATATGGTGGTGCACACCTGTAATCCCAGCTACTCAGAAAGCTGAGGTAGAAGGATCGCAAATTCAAGGCCAGTCTTAGCAACTTAATGAAATCCTTTCAAAAAGATTTTTAAATATTTTTTTTAAAAAAAGGGGCTGGGGATGTAGAGTTCTCTACTCCTGGGCTGAAATCCCAGTATTAAAAAAAAAAAAAAAAGCAACTAAAATGCCTAATAGTTGAATTATCTAAATGAATGTTATTTTTTTTTTCCTACAGGGTCATAAAACTAACATCTCATCTATCATTCCTCGTTTCTATTCCCCTCCCTCTTTTTATACAACATATAGATAGCTATGGAGATAGGTCAATATATCTGTATCTATCTCTATAGATACATAGATAAATATAGATCCAGTTTGCCTGTTGCTGAGTAAAATCATATAAGAGCAGGCATTCCAAGTCAATTTTCCTCAGCAGTTGATGCCATAGGTAAAGAATTATCACATAGAGAATACTGACATGTGTATGTGAAGATATAAATAAGTAAAATTGACTATATTTTTATGCATGTGATGTCAGACTTGCAAGTGAGAGACAACTGAGGAGAAAAAGCAAAAACACAAAAAGGAATTTAAACTGCCATGCTGCCAACCTTGGGATTTGCCAATAAAAATCAAATCCATTGAGTATGCATGGTTCTCGGTTGCTCACTGAGAGGGAGAATTCGAGGAAGCTTGTCACTTCCCATTAAATGTCTTCTTTCTTTCTTTTAAATAAAGGCATAGCAGAGTCTGATAGCAATACATACAGCACTGTGAGGCTCCACCGTCTGAGATCTCAGCACAATATTTCTGGGATTCTTTTCCTCTTCCTGCACTTTTATTTTTTTAACACAAGAGACTGATAAAATCATGTCTGTGTAAAATCATATGCAAACATGGTCCTGATTAATCAGACAGTGCTCTGATGCAAAAGTGCATTTCTTGTTAGATCTTTAAGTGATTTCCCAGGACTAGTTATACTCTGCCAAGACTAAAGACAAAAGTTTGTAAAACACCAGTATAAGTCATGACTTTTCACAGTAATGTGCTTAATGCAGTGAGTGTCACCAAAAGGAACACAGATAAATTAGACATTTTTCAAGGAAAGGGATTGAAAACACAAAGCCACTCAATGAGCTATATACGTCCCTGGAAAACTATGACAGAAGAAGGTAATAGTTTCATTCAATAAATATTTAAGTCTCACAGTACATCTGATTCTTGGTATTTGCTGGGGATTTTAAAAGAAAAAAAGAATTGACATGATTCCAGTTGCAAAGTGAGCACAGACATTATAAAATAAAATGCTGTGTTAGGAGAAGCATTGACAGAGCACAGAGGGGTCCTGTCCTTGCATGTATTAAGGGGATGTGGAGTACTGGATTGTCAGGAAAGTTTCACAGAATAGGTGATCCTAGATTAGGAGAACTCAGCAGGTAACCAGCATGGAAAAGGTTTTCTCATCAGCGGTAGGCATCAAGGAAAAGCAGATACCTCTGAAAACAGCCGGTATTACCAGGAAACCGTACACGAGGCATGAAGGGATGGACCTTCAGGGTCCAGAATGGCTCTGAGAAAGATCAAAGCAGACAAGGGACATATCATAAAGAGACCAATCTTGGATGAGGAAAATGATGCCAACACTTTTGTTGTAGAGAAAGGCAATCATTCTTACAGTAATGAGTATACAACACAAGTCGGGGTGAGCAGGGAGTACAAAATTAGAGGCAGAAAGAGAAAGACTGATAAATGCAAGCAAGGACCAAGAAAGAGATGGAAGAAAGATGCAAAACTTGGAAGCTGAATATGGAAGGTGAAAGAGAGAAATCTTATATGACTCTCCAGGTATGGGGTGATAGACTGCATGACTAAATAGAATTTTTTTTTCTTTTTAAATGCTTAATGCATTTAAAAAAATGCTTAATGCATTAGGTTTGGGCTCAACTTGGATGCTTGTGATTCTTTGAGGCAACTTCCCTATTTAGTTTACCCACTCCAGGACTGTTGTATTTTCTTCTCCTATTTAAATCTTAACAAAGATGCCTTTGTGGTCCTCAATAATGTTCAAGAGGTTTTTCATTCCAGTTCTAGTGTACTGCACACATAAGAAAGGTAATCAACTTATAATATCAGCATTGTTAATTGAAAAATAGAGAACTGAGAAAAGGAAAATGAGATCAGAAGTTTACCCGACTTCTATTGAGGTTCCTCAAGAAGCACCACTTTTACCCAACCTGCACTATAGGGAATGAGAGCAAATGATAACCAGAGGCCCTTCTGTTTATAGATAGAAAGCAGTGATTCTGGTGACCCTCCAAAAGGTAACTGCTCAGTCTAAGAATGTTAGTTGGAAAGGAAAATCAAATGATGACTATGAGTTTTTCTGACTTAATGATGCTAAGAATCTTAAAAGTTTGAAAAATGCATACCAACACACACACAAAAAAATATATACACATCACATACACACCAAAATTCACCCACACTATTTTCTTATATAATTTACTTCTTTTTTCCCCTGATATTTTCCCTAAAATGACAATGGGAGGTTGAGAGATTATGCAGCAATCCATTTTCCATCTTTGGCAGCTTCCACAAACCTGATCACTCTCATCCACTAAACACCATGAGCTACCCAACAAAACTGGTAGCAAGAGTTGACAAGCATCTAGATTTCCCAGTGCCTTTTGTGAAAAAAAAGGTCCCTCATTACAGGTACAGAAGGACCAGACAATAGATGTGGCTGGATTCTCTCCATAATGGAGGTATAATGTAACCTCAGCCACGTTCCCCTGCCCTGACCCTGAGTATTCAACCCATGCCTGTATATTCTATCCAAACCTAGTGCCTCATCTTGAAAGCTGAGCCTTGAAAAGAGGCATCCCAACTAGGGGCAAGTATGAATTGCTTTCGCACTTGAGCCCAGCCCCACCATTCACTGGCTTAGAACCCTGGGCTCATTGATTTCCTCTTTTCATCTCTTCATCCCCTAACAGGCACAATGCCACCATCTCTATCTGAGATTGTCTTACAGAGCCCTGAGGTTAGAGGAAACACTTGTTAAATTAGGAAACATGCAATAAGGAAACTTTCCTGCCTCTAGCCTTCCTTGTCTCTATCCTGAAAACACATGTTCTTCCAAGTCTTGTAAGACAGTAAGACAGAATTATACATTAGGAGAAAATAAACAAAAAAACTAGAAAAAGGTATTGGGAAAATTTTATTTTTCTCTTCTGAATATAAGTGAAATAAAACAAAAATACATGAGGAACAGCAGATAGAGCAGACAGTGATAAAATATAACTTGTAGTTTCTTCTCTTTGAACAATTTTTCAATTCTCTTAGAGAATGGTAATCCTCAAGAAACCAAAAAGCATCAACTTTACAAACTACTCTTTCAGTGTGAATCCTGCAACACTCAGACATCAATGTATAAGCCACGTGAAAACCTTACCACACAGTGTCCTTCTATCCATGCATTTGGATTACATAATTGTCCTGTAGGTTTTATGAGGTCATTTTAAATGTCTTACAATTTGACCCCATCTTTTGAATTCACCCTTCTACCTCCAGTTCTACTATGTATACCCAGAAAGACCTATATAATGGTCATGTATATTCAGCAGGGACATGCAAAAAAGCAATTTTCTGTCTCAATGAGAATGTTCTTTTACCATAACTATGCCTCCCTGCTATCAGTTATATAAAATAGTATTAATCTATTGGTCCTAGTCATTAGAAAAAGCTAATCCATTATGGACGCTCAGTATTAATAAGACATTCTGAAATGCTCTACTTTATCTATTACATGCCATCCAGACTTTATCTGTTATGCCATCCAGCACCAAAAAACAAACCAAAAGCAACTAATAGAATAATAATGATTTTAAGCAAAGAGAGTCTACTTTATTGATCTCCAAATATTTATTACTCTTAAGGTATATTTAATAAAAAGATACAAAGGAAAAAACGTATACCAAAATCTAAAAAACAATACAAAGACTTAAACTTGAATTAAATTATTCCATTTTTTGAGTTTTTGTCAACTTTAAAACAAGACCACATTATATACATCAAACCCTTAGAATCAAAGAGCAATAACCATCATCAAAATAACTTAAAATAAGACTTACACAAGATGAGCTGAGCTGAAGGAAGACCAGATTAAGAGGTTAAATGCCTCATCCTAAAGGGAATCAGGATAGTTTTTAGGATTAAATTTTAAAAGTTCAAAGGACACAAAGAAACAAGACATAGAAGAGTACCTACTCCATGGTTCCACTGATATCACACCCTATAATAGGCAGAAATAAAACTTTGGTGACAGAAAGGAGATCAGAGGGAGCCTAAGGCTATAGGGGGGAATGGATTAGAAGAGAATATAAAAGAATTTTAGGGGTGACAGACTCATTCTATAGCTGGATCATGCTCATGGTTACATGACTACAAGTATTCAGTTGGTGCATCAAATTATTCATTAAGACAGATTCACTGTATTATATTAAAATTATACTTCATAAAACTGATCTGGTGTTTTTTGTTAAAAGAAAAGTTTATTGCTCAGAAAATTTCTATATTTATTTATCCTATTTCCTTTCTAAGCATTGCAGAAATATCCTACACATACCTGAAGCTGTGCCACAGCATGGTGGTACCCACCATGCAGAAGAAAAGATGCTTGCAATCACATCGGGTGGAAATAGAGTCACATTTCTCTGAATCTGAAGCAAATTTAACACTAACGCAAGAAATACTCCAATAAAAAAAAGGACTACTCCTCGAATCATCAAGTTCACACTCTGGCTAGTGACAGATGAGATATATGGGCCACACTTTTTGGACCCAGGTAACTCCGTCTCTCCTTCCGCCATGGTTTCATAAGTTCAATAAGCTGTAGGGGTGGGAGAGTCCCAGTTGAAAAGCTCCACTGTTTGTGAATCAAAGCAGATGATGCTTCAACAGTACATCTTGTCCTAAAGCATGACCTACCAGAAATCCTGCAAAAGATAAGAAAGAAAGAAATCAGTGTGTCTGATACATAATTGTATAATTTTTCTTATTTCAATACTTGTTCATTTAAAAAGATAAATAATGAAATGACAAGTTTGCAAACTCATTTACTTAAATTAGTTATTTACTAAATAAGAAAAGGTTTTAAAGTATTTTATATACATGATATAATAAAAAATAAAGTGCCACACTAGTATTTTACTAGAAAAGAATAAGTGGCCCAAGAGACCTAAAGATTAGAATAATTGTAAAAACAGCTTGCCCCACTCAGAGAAAAGTAGAACAGATAATCAGAGTCACTTCCAAGAGAATCAAAACACAACTTTCTGCATCTTCTACCTAAATCTCCAAGTCCATCAATTACAATAGGGTGTTTTATACTTTACAGAAAGTCAACATATTCTGATAAAAGATTTAATTTTCCACAATAAAATGTGGCTTGTTCATGAAGACAACCTCCATGAAAGAACAAAATGATTTATTTTAATGTTTAATTTGATACATTTAAATTTTTACACAAAAGTACAAAAACTGGACCACCATGTACTCTTGACACACATACCAGTCACTGAAGCCAAAGGGGACCATTCTCCCCGAGGCCACATCTGTCTCTCACCCTTGCTTCAACCCAGTCTGCCTTAGTTACAATCATCAGAGTGACTGTGAGAAAGTTGGAAGAGGAAGCAGAATAGAGGAAGCTAAGACAATGAAGAACAATCTCATGACTAGATTTGGAGGAGTTTTATCCACCAGGCTCCTAACTCTGAAAATCTCAACACTTTGCTATTACAATCAGTCTAGGTTTTTGTTCATTCCCCTAACCAAAGTGACCGTTATGGTTTGGATGTCATTTCCAACCTAAATATTCATGTGTTGGGAGCTTGGTCCTCAGTGTAGAAATGTGGGGAAGTGGAACCTTTAAGAGGTGGAGCCTAGTGGGAATGCCGCTTTCAGAAGGGGATATAGGACCTCAGTCTCTCAGGCTTCCTGTTTGGTGACATGATCTAGGTCTCACACCTTTGCTCCAGTCATCTGCCTCAAGGTCTTCAACCAGACCATTGTTGATGCTGACATCATGCCCTTAAGTTGCAACAACTGTAAGCTAAAACAAAACAACAACAAAACTATTTTCTAGCCAGTGGGGTGGCCCAAGCCTGTAATCCCAGTATCCTAGCATCTCTGAGAAGGAGGCAGGAGGATCTTGAGTTCAAAGCCAGTCTCAGCAAAAGCCGGGCGCTAAGCAACTCTGTGAGGCCCTGTCTCTAAATAAAATACAAAATAGGGCTGGGGATGTGGTTTAGTGGTTGAGTGCCCTGGAGTTCAATCCCAGGTAGAAAAGGAAGGAAGGAGGGAAGGAAGGGAGGGAGGGAGGGAGGAAAAAGAAAAAACAACTATTTTCTTTATAAAGTCTGCCTAACTCAGGTATTTCATCCGAGTAACACAAAATGGACTAATGCAGTTGTCTTTCCTTTGTGTGTGTTTAAGACAAATAACATGTGAGGCTTTTATGTACCTTTCTAAGCACCTGACGTGATAATTCTTGAACTCCAACAATAACCTTGAGAGGTAAATTCAATTCTTGTGTACACTTCACAGGCCCCACAAGGAAGTTTAAGCCACTTGACCAAGTTTACATATGTAGGAGGAGGCAGAACTGGGATTCAAATCCATGTAGTCTAAGCCCAAAGCCCTTGCTCTTACCATGATGTTCAGCCTCCCAAACTGTCACATATGCTTTTGTTTTTTATGAATACTAACAATTTTTAAATAGGAAAATACTACACAGGCTGTTTTTATAATTTACTTTCATCCTTCCCAACTACAATATATCTTGGGCATCTTTATAAGTCAGTACTTAAGTGATATTTCCTTTGGATCCCAAAGCAGTTTAAAACTTTAGATAGCACTTATAATAGCTACCTTATAATTATATGTATAGTTGCTTTATGGGTTATAAACTTTACATGTAGGTCTTATTCACCCAGCAAGGTTCCTGCTTAGACCACAGTGGGAGCTCCACATAGTCCTGCTTGTGTAGTTAAATTGGGCTTACTCTTCTTAAATCAAACCATATTGGGTTAAGCAGGCCTTCTGGAAGGCCTTTAATCATCATTTAAAATTCATTGCCTTTGAGTTTCCAATTTTCAAACTATCTTATAAATGAATTTTGGAACAAAACTCAACTGTAAACTGCAGGAGATGGGGCTGACATGAGAAATAACCATTATGAAAATGAGAATATTTGTAAGTACTAGTAACTTTCACCGCTTATCAGCTCCATGTGATAAACAAACAACAGGCTTTGATTTATGCCCAACACTCAAGGGGGAATACTGTCCCTAAGCTGATCCTTACAATCTTAGGTAGTTTATAGTATAACTGAGCTCTACAGTTTTTTGGACTGCAGAAAATAGAACATATTACAGCTGATTTATGGGAAAACAAACTCTATATACCAATTGAAAATGCCCAGAAATCCTTCTGAATAGGTATTGTAGGACTATTCCTGCCATGGTATGGTAAACAGGTATATTAGCACACTATATGTTCTAGACATATATAGCAAGGATCAGTAACCACAGAATTCATCATGATCATCATCACATCATCATCTTCTTCTTTATCACTATTAATAGGCATTTAGTAATTCAGAAACCATTCATTCTCTGTGTCATAAATAGAGTAATTCTGATCTTTAAAATAATCCTAAAGGTAGGAATTATCCTCATTTTACTCATGAGGATCCTAAGTCAAAGAGATTTTGCATTTATTTATTGGTCATAGGACATACAGAGTTAGAACTGGAATTTTACCTCAGGTCTTATTCCCAAATTTATTCTCTTTCCTCCATACACTGAATCCCACTCCACCTACTTAGACCTGGTTTTTGGCACATGGGTCTATACAAAATTACTTGATTACTGAAAGAGATGTGTAAACACTGGGAAACCATATCAACTGCAACATAGTCTCCAGGTACAAATGCCAATATGAGTAGGAGACAACATAATAGCACGGAGATGATGAGAATAAATGTAAACACCTTGAAATTTTTTAAAGTACTAGATCAAGATGAAAATTACAGTACATATTACAGCTGATTTATGGAAAAACAAACTCTACATGCCAATTGAAAATGCCCAGAAATTCTCCTGAACAGGTATTGCAGACTATTCCTACCATGGAGATATTTTAAAGTAAAAAAAAAGAAGCATCTCAATGGTTAAGTAAACACTTTTTGGCTAAGTACACACTTTATGAGATCAACATTTGACTTTGCTTCCCAAACTTCAGCCGCAAGGAAACCCCACTGACTCTGCTGAAGGGACAGAGATAAAAGGATGAATTTATGTTCCAAGTAGCCCAAATCTAGTGCAGCACTTGTCTCTGTGAATTTTTCCAAACAATAATTAATAGCAAAAAAATTATTCTTAATAATATTTTAAAAGAACAAAATAACTTCTGCTTTAAAAGCCATTTTAGTTGTGCTAGCTCCTATCTCACAATCATTTGCCAGAATTTGTCAGAGTACAGCATTGAGGACAGTTATGTCCCAACAAGTCCTTGTTATGTGAAACTGCTCTAAGCCTTGCATATTATTTAGCATCCCTGTCTCCTGCCCACTAAATGCCAGCCTCCCCCATCTGAGATAACCAAAATTGTCCCCACATTTCCAAATGCCCCAAGGGAGGCACTGCCTTCCAACTGAGAGCCACTGATTACTAGATACTTGTTTCCTCATTCTATTTCAAGGCTGCTAAAGACTTTCTAAACTGTCCATCTATGTTTTCTACCACAGCTGTTTATCCACCTTTTCCTGGCAGTGCCTCTTCATAATTTCCTACTTCACCCCACAAGTTTTCTTTAAAAATAACAACATTTGTTTGATGTATGTTTGAATGTGATCCAAAAAGCTAACTTAAGTGTCTGCATCATAATACAATGGTATATAATTACTGAGGACAAAAATAAAAGCTACAACGCTTTACAATCATTGTATTCTAAAATTTAAGAACCGGAAAGGAACTCGGAGATCATCTACTCCATAGATGAGGGTGTTTGACCCTCAGACTAATCAAAAACAAAAAACTTGTACATGTGTGCATTTTTCTAAAAGTTCTACAATTTATATCAAGTACTCAAAAACTCCATTAACTAAACAAAGCTAGATTTAAAAGTTCTCTCACTCTCCTAGCAAGGTAAATGGGACACAAAGGGGTCAAGTGAATTGACAAGATCAAAACTGTACTACAGGATCTTTTTACTATAAATATATACAGTGAACACCTGGAAATGACCACACTCATCAAAGTGTGGTCAAAGGGATAGGAAATTCCTTAAGTCTATTCACCTCCCCCGCTACATTGCAACAACAAAATTCCTTTAAGTGGTACAGGGCTTGCCTAACACGTGTAAGAGCCTGGGTTGGATTCTCTGCACCACATAAAAAATAAATAAATAAAATAAAGGTATTGTGTCCAACTACAACTAAAAAAGTAAATAAATATTTTTTTAAAAAAAGTATGTTTATATCAGTCATGCACTTAGGAGGGGTAGTTATTTTAAAGGAAAGCTCAAGGGAACTAGCATTGCTTAATTTAAACATTACTCTTAACATCGAAAAGAAATCTGATTCTCCAAATTTTTAAAAAATATATCTTTAAAAAATTTAGATTATTTAAAAAATAATTTTCTGATCAAAGAAGAAGTCTCTGGTATAGATACTGTTTAAAGGGCAGTATCTCAATGAATCCTCAATGATAATTTTGTTAATAAACAGTCAAGTGATTTTTAACTCTATTTTACAAAATCAAATAGGCTAGTTGAATTTCTAAAATCACAAACTATTACCAGGTAGTAAAAGGTCGAGGCCCAAACACAGACTCCACGGCTTCCACTTTACTACATTGTCTCTGTCTATGAACACCATATAAATACAACTTAAGGACCACACAGGAAACGGTTTTTAAAGTTATTTTGATAAATTACTATTAATTCCAAATTAATGTTTTCAATCATTTAAAAAGACATACTTTCCAAGGGACATTAAAAAATTCTACCTTGAGTCCTGAGCTCCAATTTCTATAAAGTATGTGAGTGATCAAAAAGAAAAATAGTTCACATAGTTTGGCTAATCAATGACAAATCATCAATACTGGAAAAACATCATTCCAGGTGTCTACCTGTTAATATTATTGCTTCAGACAAATAAAAGAGAGTTCTAAGCAATTCTGGGCTCTTTGAATGAAAATCAAAGTTTATACTGACCAGTGAAACAACGCACAGGCAACGGACATTTGAAAACAAACACACACAAATTCTCCTAGTAACCTTAAAAAAACTGGTTGTGTTTCAACAATTGCAACACTTCCTAGAACCAAACAATAAGATCATTCATCTTCCGATGATGATTAGAAGCCACAAAAGCACATTTGTTTCCCTCAGATTACCCTGTCTCTTCAGGTGCTTGCTCAGATAGACTACTAAATAATAGAGTTAAATCATGTCTTTTTCATCATATACTCTCATTCAGAATGGTATTCCCAATATAGAATACTCATTAACATTAGAAAAACACACAAATCACTGAAATAGTTTAGCTCCCATAAAGAATATAATGTAACTCTTTCCTCTTAACATTAAAAAATCAAACATATAAAACATTAAGCAAGCAGCATTTACAACTCATTGCTGGTTTTAAATTATCAATTTCCCTCCCTTAAAAAAGTTACTCTATTATTTGGGGTAATTTTCTGATAACAGTAAAAACAAACTGTCTTTAAATGACTGAATTCCATTTTACCCTTTCATTTTCAATGCAACCATCTGTAAAAGCAACAGTTGTCAGTTTTAGAAGAATCTGTTTCCCAAGTGTACATGATTTGCAGCTTGGTCAATTTCCACCAGATATGAACTGACTACTAGGAAAAAAACACGCCATGATAAATCACGGTACTGAACACAAAATCCAGAGATAGAATAAAGGGCAAAAATAGAGGAGTACAATGGCTACTTAGTTTTCTGTGGGTCACTGATTAGTGGAGGTATTCTTTCATTCAGTTGTTCAGTATCAATGGCAAACCCAAAAGTCGAAAAACACAATCTAGCTTATTTGGCTGCCTTCGTTTTTTCTGCAGCCAGGACTGCAGCATGTCTTCCCCAGCACTCCTGGGCTCTACTGCAATACTGACACTTGCCAATTTCAGCCGCCCAGCTGTCAAACCTATCGTTTCTTTTAACTCACCGATCCTACAAAACAGCAAGCTTTTCATGGTGTATTTTCTAAGACAGTCTAGCTGATACCATTCTTTAACAACGTTTTCCAACATTAACTGGACATCAGTTATTATCATTACTAGTTTTAGCACCTTCTCTGCCCCCATCCCCATCATCCGCATTGCTTTCCTCTTCCAGGATGCCAGACTCTACTGAGTGATCCTAAAATCCCAATAACTATTATCAACTGATCTTTAGACCCAGCCAAAAGTTCTCTTTGGTTGTACCCACACACCTACTCCAAAGATATTCAATTCCAACCCAAAATGCCAAAGTCCTACTCCTCAAACCAATGTCGTATCATTTGGGTGGGTTCTAAATTTACCAGGATACCTGCCTAATTTGAATCCATCCCCCAATCCCCAATCTGTGTCTCTCTCCCCAGCTACCAGCCACCCAAGGTCCTGACAGCTCTACGCTTGACAGCTGGCCGACCTCCACCTCCATCAGATCTCCAGGGTCGTCCTTCCCGCAGTCCTCCCACTCCGACACTCTTCCATTGTCCCTGAGCCTCGGCTCCCCCTACGACCTCTCTCAAACCCGCTGTCCTCTCCTGGACTTCTCCGACCTCTCTCCAGGTAAGCGGAGCCCCTCGCCCTGCAGGCCCCATCTGCGGTCCGGGATCCCCACACCTGCCACCAGGATTCCCGGCTGCAAAAAAACACAAGTGGTTCCTCTTCTTGAGAGCTACGCCTTTCCTCAGGCCGCTTCCCTCAGCAACACGTCACCTGCGCTCTTGTGGGAGACCCCAACTCACCCCCGCCTCCGCCATCTTCTGGGACCTGCCCCCGTCGCCCCTCCGCCTCTTCCTCCTCTCCTCCCACAACTCCGCCGGAGCTCCACTACGCCTGTGCAGCCGCCGCGCCGCGCGCTGGCGATCGGGGCAGAAGAGCTTCCGTTTTCCGCTGGAGCTGGCGGAGGGGCTAGAAAGTCGGGACAGCAGAGCTTCCGGGCTGCAGGAAATTGGTTGCTGGTGGGAGGCGTGGACCGTGTAAGTGGTGGGAGGCTGCGGGATCAGCTGTTTGCTAAGAAGACGGTTGTGGGTTGTGACGGGTGCCCTGATCCTGTGGGCGGAGTAAAAGAATCGTGCAGTGACACACGCACACAGACAAGTAAGACGCAGTTCTCTGCATGTTCCTCGTCTTAGAGCCGGGAGAGTTGCGGGCTGTAGAGGATCGGCGGCCAAGTTCTTCAGGATAAGGCGCCAGCTCTCACTCTATAGTGCTTTTGCCAAACTTCACTCCTTGCTCTTTCTTCCCTGTCAAGCCATAATTTACCTTGAAAGAAAATACTTGATATTTCTCTCTCATCTCCATCCTGTAGCACTTTTCATTCCTAATGGTTCCTCAAGGACGACCAGGTAATGTGGTTTAAGAGCAGTCGTTTTCATAGGAAGGGCTTTAGAAATTTACACCAAAGTAGAGAGACCACACACCTTAAAACCCCTCATTGTCATTAGTATTATACCCAATGAATCTAAAACCTTACTTTTAGAACATTAACCAGCCCAAACAGAACTTTGGAGATTGTGAACGTGAACTTTTGTTTTGAATGCCAGTGGTGCCATCAGTATATAAGCAAACCATATATAAATGCCAGAAAGCCTTAATAATTTTTAAAAGGAAAAATCAAAATCTCTCTTGACTGTATTACATTACTAAGCTAATCTGTATAACACTTTTTGGGGTGTCTTAACACAAACTACACTATGGATATGATCATATAACTGTGATCTTAAGGAAAGTTTCAGATGAAATGTGGGCCTAGAATAATTGCATAACAGTTTGACAAAGGATGTCAGTTGGTTAAACTCCTTCGTTTTCTTTTACTTTGAACTGGTAAAGGATAAGGTATTTGTTGATGTACTGGTAAAGAATAAGATGTTTGTCTTGTTTTGTTTTGCTTTGCTTTTTTCAGTGCTAGGGATCAAATGCTCTGCCTTGCTCATGCTTGGTAAGTGCTCTACCACTGGCTTATATTCCCAGCCCAGTAAGATGGCTTTTTAATGCTCCTAATCCTTTTATAATATAACACATCTATTTCTGAAAAGTTAAAGAGAAACTAAATTTGTAACAGAAGTATCTGAGTATTTATATAACACTACTTGTTTTCTGTTTTCCCTAACTCTTAAATATAGTTCCTGTGGGTTTTTACGTTACCAATAAAAGAAATATACTAAATGGAAGAGGAATTTTAAAAGGAAAAAAGCATCCAGAAAAGAGACAATAAGTTCAAATTGTCCTGCCTCATCATGGTTCTCATTAAAGCACCATGAATCCTATATGTACAATTCATTCCTACCCCAACCCAGCTCTTTTAAATACTTAGAAACTGCCTTCAAGAAAATTCTAATGGAAAATTTTAGCCTAGTAAGGCATTTATTTTAGTTTAAATATTTATAAATTGCAAGGAGGGACAGGATCTAAAACTCAAGAAACTGGTGTGGCACCAATTTTTATGAGTCTGACATCCATTCCAGTAATTTCTTTGCAGTACAAGGCTGAATTTAAAAAACCCTTAAGAGGAATACAAAGGGCTGTTTTTGTCATTTATTAGATTTGAGCATGGTTTTCATGAAAGATGTGGTCTTTAAGGGGACACTGAAGATAAATATGCAGATATGTAAAGCTGTGGGAGCTCAGAGTTGGAAAAACATAAAGTGGATTAGAGAGCCAAGCACATGGAAGAACGTGTGCTGAAACATGAGATCTTGATGTAAAACTCATGAAATTGGGTTAAATTTTTGTTATCATGGATATTTTAAAATCCTAAATTAGTTGATGTCAGAATATTAATTAAGAACCTTGGATTACTTTGAAATTGATGTAATGTCAGTGGAATGCAGGTGAGGGATTCTTGAAAACCAGATTGTGTTGGTGTTATAAAAACGTGTGTAGTCATGTCTGGTAAATCTCATTTTTCGAGGCTTTCATGGTCTTAACTGTAAAATGAAGGATTGGTTTAGATGATTTCTAAGGTCCTTTTTACTGATAGAATTATCAATGATTTGAAAATACTGCAGCTTCAGAGAAAAGTTTTTTTCCACTAGCCTTACATGTTGTTTGATCTCCTAACCAAAAGATCAAAAGATAAGTTAGGAAAAAAAAAAAAAAAACTCTTTCGTTAGCTAAAACAAACACCCATAAAATTTATTTGCCTTATTGGAATGAGATATTGTTAGACTAACATTAATTATTGCCTAAGGGTTTATGACTGACTATGCTTTACAGTAAGCTTCTCAGAACTTTGGACTTGGAAACCTTATCCAAATTAAAAACATTCAAAAATTCAGGGAAAAAAAAAGTAGGCAGTTTTCCTGCTCAATAGCTGAAATTCAAAATACTAGAGACCACACTGGTTTTTTGTTATTGTTGTTTGGTTGGTTGATTTTTTATTTCTTTCTAGTGTTTTGATAAGGAATATTGCTGAGGTTTAAATGTGGTTTGTCCCACAAAGGTTCATGTTCTGGAAGGGTGGCCTCAGTATGGTGATGTTGAGGTGGTAGAAACTTATACAAGATGAGGCCTATTGGAAAATAATTAGGTCATGGGAGCTTTCTCCTCATGAAGGGATGCTGCTGATGATCAGAGTGGTTGAGATCTAGTAGAAAGGGATTAATTTTCCAGAAATCAGATTGTTATAAAAAGAGTGACCCTGGCCTCTCCCTGGTCTCTAAGTCCTTGTCTTGTCATGTGATCTTTCCTTCTTGCAATGCCTCCACCATGATGCTCCTACCATGTTCACATGTAAGCAGAAGGCCCCCACTAGAGGCTGAACCAATAAGGCTCCTTGATATTGAACTTTCAGCCCCCAAACTGTAAGCTAAGTAAACCTCTTTTCTGTAAAAAGTATTCAGCCTCAAATAGTTCATTATAACACACAAAACAGACTAATAACAGATACATTTTTCTGAGGGACACACACACAAAAAGGAATTTTGCCTCTTTGAGATTATAAAATGGGTCATTTATTAATCCACTCATCCTGTCAACACATGTGACCTGAGCACCTCACAGTTACCAGGCACTGGACCATAGGAGGAAAGCAAAACAGGTCAGGCATCTTGCTTATAGTCTAGTAAGTCAATGTTAAATTAACATGTACTTACAAATGAGACAAGTGCTATGAAGATGAACCATCTCCATATTACAGTGGTGCATTAAGGAAATGCCTGGAATGTGACTTGAAGATTAAGAGAGATATGCCAAGAGCAGGATGAAGAGCAAGTGTGAAGGCACAAATGTGGAAACTGCGTATACTCCAGGAATCGAAAGGAAAGCAGAGTCACTGGAGGGGAAGAGTAGCTATTGAGAAGGAAGAAGATTAAAAACTTGATTGTGTATTAACATCATGATTGACCACTTATCGTGTGCCAGGCACTGTGCTAATTCACCTCATATGCTCAAAACTCTTTTGAAATAGATACCAAATAGTAGATGAGAAATTAAGGCTAAGAGTTGTTATTCACAATCTTGGCTGTATATTAGGATCATCTGTAGATCTATTAAAAATTTTAGTGTCTGAACACCACCCTCTTATATTCTGATTAAATTGGGCTAGAGAGGGGGTCTTTTTAGACTCATTGTGCAATCCTAATGTAATCTGAAAGTAATCATAATGCAGTGAAAGTTGAAAATCGCTGGATTAACTTTACATTGTCCACAGTCACTTAGCAACTAAGGGTAGAGGAAGAGAAACTCAACCTAGATCTGTTTGATCCTGAAGCCTGTGTTCTTAGCCACTCATTAGTTCCCTATCCACATTAAGTAGTATATAGAAAGCATTTTCATGCTAAAAACTGTTCAATACTGAGACAGAAAGATGAACAAGATTGAGCTCTTACCTTCAGTATTCACTGTCATAAACTAATAAGGCAGAAGTCTCAGTAAACCAAGCCAGCCCGTGTAAATAGACAAGTTCACTAAAAACTTTTCATGAAATCATATATGTTCCGCTGTTTTAAGCTAGATTTGTCTGGAAGGTACCTAATGGGAGGGAATCTAGGTAGGCAGATATCGCAATTGTCAGCTACAAGATGTTGCAAGCCTGAACTGAGGCAATGGCAGAGGTCACAAAGAGAATTGGCAGGACTTGCTGACCACTGATGTGAGGGTGATAAAAAGATAGAAATGGAGATGACTTCAATGTTTTGAGTTTGGGAAATCGAGTTCATGTGGCACCATTGGTCTAGAATAAGAATGCAATAATTGAATTTGGGGTTGAATGAGTTTGAAATATTTTGAAATTCAGGTAGAAATATCTAGTAGGCAATGACAGTGTGCAACTGGAGGTCGAGTGAGCAAATGGACCTAGAAATGAACAACTGGAATTACAATGTTTTAGGAGGTAGTTGAATATGCCATGTCTGACATTTTTTAGAAAAGACAATAGAGATTGGGGAAGGAAAAAATTCTGACATTGCCATACTTGAATATGTCAATAAAGCTATTATTTATCTGCAGTGATATTGAACACAGTCCACTTATGATTCATATCCATGATTAATTTTTAATACTTTCCAGACTTCGCCTGGCCTCATAGCAAATGTAACAGATGATACATAGCCATGGAATGCAAACCAATTTTAAATATTGGCTTAATATTTAAGAAGAATGCTATATGATGCATTCCAAAATGTAAAAGAAATATCTTAGGACTGTGTTTCCACACAAGTAATTTTTATGTACCTCTAGTTTTGACTTAAATTATTTTGATAACAATATTACCTACAATGGTTCAATGTCCTAAACTTAAAACCATATAGAAAATTTTTAGGCTTAAACTCCTATGCATCTATAAAACCAATGCATTTGCAAAAGC